TTTAAACTGCAGGAATTTCTTACAGACATAAAGACCTGGATGACCTGATTTTCTGCTTCCAAATTCACATAAAAACTGAGGTTATTGTAGTCTGACCTAAAACTCTTAGAAGTTATTATTGGGAAGGTCTTTACCTTACAATATTAAGCGCCTTGAGGCGACTGTTGTTGTGATCTGGTGCTACATAAATAAAAGTGAGCTGAATTGATTGCAAGCCAAATAGTTCAAGCTTTGTCTTGTCTGACCATAGCAATATTTTCCACATTTGGCTTGGGCATGTGGGCAGCTACAAATTTCAGTTGAGCTTCTTTATTGGTCAACATCCTCTCAGTCCATGACAATGTAAAACTCGCTACAAGTCTTTAGGTAAGTCATTAAAAACGTATGCTGAATCACCATTCCATCCTGAAAAATGAACAGTTTAAAGACATTATTAAAAGTGCCAAATTACTATTACATTCATGCCCATGATCCACTGGAGCCACAGTAGTAATGGTAATAACACAAACAAAGAACAACAACGATATGAAAACCGAAAATGTAAAAGTGAATTCCACATTTGCTGAAGTAGTGGGTTTCCCTCACTTTTTGTCATCATGGTGGAAATGTTTGCAGAAATTTGGTTTTATATAGAGTAGGCACTTGATTTTGGAGCACACAGAAGCTGGGTGACACATAGTCAATGATTATTCATTTTGCTGTGTCATTTGTCATCTCCATAACCATATTTAATGCAATATGTCACATCATATAAATTACTTAAATGCACTATGAACCACAGTGTAATCCCAAGCTTTTCACATGCGCTGCACACAATTTAACTCAGTGAAACCACTGGCCCTGATTAGCCACACAAAACCCCTTCAAACAGCAGCAGAACAGGCTTTCTGGCTGCCTCCCACCATAATGACAGGAGGGAGGTCTGACAGAAAGCTGGCCCAACTAACAAGCTAAAGTCTGAAGATGAGTTTACCTGTGTTGGAACGCCGACGAATGCCAAAGTCCCAGCTGGAGGTGATGTCCATAGACTGAGAGAGGTCACAGGGATGACTGTCTGTCACACTACTGCCCCCCTCATTCAGGAGGCCTGACCCAGTTGACCCAAAGCTGCTACCAGGCACCAGAGAAAGCTGGCACTTCTCAAGATCAACATCCTGATCTATTAGCACCATCTCACACATTCCAGTATCATCACTGGTCACATGAGATTGTCTGATGTGAGCCAGGATAATGGCCGGATTGTCCAAGAATGCCATTTCCTGTTTGGCTAAGTGTGTCTTTTCGCTTTGGAAATTTTCTCACCCTCTTGCCTGTATGCCAAAGGGTTCCTTTTCTTTTCTTATCAGTCTCTGTTTGAGAGTGTTACAGCTCTGACTGATGACAAGAGAGGTGTCACCTTTTCCATCTTTTGATGACTATTTTTTCAGGTCCAAGGTAGGCAAAGTAGTCCCTAAGGAGAGCAAAGAAATTGTTATTACATGTTGCAGTCTAGAAGTAGGATTTCAGCTCAATCTTTTAAAACTGATATATTTAAAAACTATAAGCTCAATTCACACATCCCAAAGCCCACTTTAACTTCCAACTTTCACAATTTAAATAAATAAATACAATAAACTAAAACAAGAAGCAAACCTCTGCCAAGGCAGCTCACTATCTGGGCAGTATTTGCTTTTAAGAGACTAGTATTGTATTTTATACAATCTTTTGTTTTTGTTCTTTATACAGTTGAGATCAAAAGTTTAAGACCACTTGAAAAATGGGCAAAAGAAGTTGGGGTTTTTTTTTTTCATATTTTGCATGGTTGGATCTTAACAAGGTTCCAAGTAGAGCTTCAACGTGCAACAAGAAGGGATGGGAGTGAGACAAAACATTTCTTTTGAGCATGCATTTTATTGAAAACAACACTTAAACTGAAACAGGCTGTTTTACACCCGATCAAAAGTTGAGGACACAGCTAGCTGTTTGATGTGGGACAGTAAACTTCAATGTTTAAATGGATCTATTTTAAAGATGTAGAGCTCTAATGTGCAGCTGCTGCCTTAAAAATCATCAATGGCAGCAAAATCCCACTCAGTGATAAAACTGTTAAGTAGAATTAAAATTATTATTGTTTGCACCAAATCACCAGATTAAGTAAAGAATTTTCTCGTCATTTTTAAAAACAGCGATGCATTTTACTGGTATATTTTTATAATAAAGATTTTTATTGCAATTTGATAACATCTCTAAAGTATAGGTAGCACTCACAGGGATAATTTTCTACAGAAGAAGAGTTACATGATTCCTGAAACGCCTATTTTGTGATTGGTCAGATGTCTGCCAGTGCCACACATTTCGTGTGAATGCACAGGGGAGACCCTTCGTTCCCACAGTGACTTGATAACCAGCTTTGTGTGATCGGTTATCCTGATCGTCAATTTTAGGATAAGTGAATCCAGACAATGGAGAGATACCCTAAATATACTGAAAACACATAGTTTACCCAACTCCTGCTTTACAGTATAGGCCTCAGCTTGGCTGAAGAGGCTTTAAAAGTCTCAACAGTTAAAACAAAGATTGTCATTTTGCCAATAATCTCTTTAAATGGGTTTGAACTTTGATACCAATAAACAAAAACTGAAGTTTGAATGTCCGTGATATTAACACTGAACATAAAGATGTTGATAATTTCAACATGTAAATAAGAGCTGTAAGCCAGGCCAAAACAACCCCACACTCAAACTAGGTTGAATGAGATACCAACGTTAACACGTCCAATAAAGGATCAGGACCAGAGCACCAAGATTTTTTTGTAACTTTAGTAAACAAACGTCAAACTATTAATAAAATATTGTTAGGTTTTGAATAGTTCAAATTGTATGCGGCGGGCCTAATCTTACATTAGAAGATCCAGTTATTGCAAAGAGCTTCTAGACGACGCTAACTGCAACTAATGAAAAGCTGTAGTGAATTGTCAGGTTTGTCCTTGCTGACAGCTTAAGGGTCTTCTTCTCTAAAGCGAAATGTGTTATGGCGTGTAATGCCAAGTGATACTGTTTGATACCTGCAACAAGCACCTTACTTAATGATTCATCGTAGCTGTTTTTAATGATAGGTGATGTAGCTATTGTCTTTTTTGCTAACCATCGTAGCCGGCTGACTTCAAAGTAATACTTTTTTAAATCATAGTCCGCCTGCTTAGAGTGGCAAAAAGGTTTGTTTTTAGTATCAGGATTGGAAAAATATTTCACCAGAAGCGGTTCAATCTAGTAGCTTGCAAGCTCATTTAAGCTAACGCGACCAGCATTTGGTTGCACCTCCCTTGTTTAACACGACGTCTTACCTTTAGATTTATCCACCATTCTCCATATTATACAAGCATGATCATAATAGAGTCAGAAACTCTGTTCATCACGACTAATGTTCCACATTAAAGTCATAATACAAACACAAACCAACTCAACCTGGTACGCTCTGCCTAACAACCAACCTACAACCAACCCGGCTATACTTCCGGTTCCGTTACTTCGTGATAAAAGAAAAAAAAGATTTCGTTTTCACAGAAAGCATCAGTCATCGACATATTTTGCAACATTTTTATCCCTATTACGCTTTTATTAAAATATAACTGTTTATGAAAATATCATGTGACTTAGTTTGATTAAGTCTAACATTATACTAAATTATAATTAATTATAATTTAGTTATAATTATAATTGTAAAAGATATACCCGACAGTCAGGGAGGGCATTTTATGTGCTTCGACCTAAAATTAGGTCCATATATATTTGGAAACTGTGTTTTTTTTTAACCTGTTTACTGAAACATATTCCAATTATTGTTATATAATTGACATGGACATAATATGTAGAATCTCACCTTTCATCTGAGGGTATCCACTTTTAAACTGTAATGAAAAGTTCAGGAGATTCAGGTCCTTAAAATGTGCCACCCTTTTTTTAAAGACACCAAAAGTAATTGGACAATTGGCTCAAAGGCTAGGGGAGCCTATGGTGAAAGAGTTCATTACGTTTTGTTCTGCACTGATATCGATTGGACAGTGTTAACTGCACAGTATTGCAGGCAGCATTTAGTGGAGATGGACAAGCCGCAAGGAAATGCTCCAGCGAGCCACGATATAAACATGCCATTATTTGCATCTGTCACTTTTACATTGTGTTAATCAGACCCTTCCCAGCTACATCAGCTCAGAAGTGTTGTTGCTGGAATAATTTAATAAGCATTTGGCTGCATCCTCCTCTGTGCAAGGATGATTGAAGGTATGTTTAAATTCTTCCAAAAAGTCCTTAAAGAGATGTGAGTACAATTATCGATTTCGTCAAGCCTGCTAAAGAAAATAAAGTGCTTAATTTATTAATCCATGCATAATTTTAAGAGAATGCCGTATAAGCTGTATAATGTGTGTATTTGTCACGTTCCATGAGAGTGTCTGTTGGTGTGCTCCCAGGGTCCGCCCTCTGGGGCGGAGGTTTTGGTGTTGCATCAGATAGCATCACCTCAAGGGTTGTCAGGTCCTGCGCAGATCAACTGTATGGGGTGATGGAGCACATCTTCGAACTGAGCCTGAGGCTGTGGAGAGTTCAACAGCTCTGGAAAACCTCTTGTGCTGTACCAGTGCCAAAGACTCCACGTCCCAAGAACTTCAAAGGCTACAGGCCGGTAGCTCTGACATCCTACCTGATGAAGACCCTGGATCAGTTGGTCCTGGCTCAGCTTCAGCCCCTGGTGAGCTCATCACTGAACCAACTTCAGTTTGCCTGCCAACTTGGCATTGGAGTGGATGATGCTGTCACTCTCCTCCTACATCGTTCCCTCTCTCACCTGGAGACTGCTGGGAGCAATGTGAGAATCATGTTCTTTTATTTCTCCAGTACCTTTAACACTATTATTCCCACAGTCCTTAAGGACAAACTGGAGAATTCAGAAGTGGACCATCATCTCACAACATGGATACTGGACTACCTCAAGAAAGGACAGAGCAGGCTCTACCTGCTGCAGGGGCTCAGGTCTTTTGGATTGAGGGGCCCACTCCTGAAGACCTTCTGTGGCTCTATGCCCCGGACAACATCGACCCTGGAATCCTTGGGAAACAAAAACCTGTTCTAAACTGCAGCAATTACCCCTCTTTGTTTTCCATAACTGGGTGTACTAATTGAAGCTTCTTCTGTGTCTAAAAAATAATAATAGTTATCTGAATACCTAAACAGTTATCAAAATACAATAGCTATAATAACATGCTCAATCATCCAGGTAAGTAAGTTGGACTACAGATGAAAGTTTGAGCCTGTTTCAGCAATGCTAAGCCCCCAGCATCCAACATCAACATGGAGTGGAGGAAGGCACTCACATCACTTATAATGACAATAACATTATCTGGCAGACAAGGGTAGGTGCATGGTTGTGCACCAGAAAGACTATCATGAGAAAATGTTGTCACTGCTCAGTGACAAAAATACTTATGAGCTCCTGAAACGAGACCCAGGAAGTGGTTACAGGAAGAGGGTGATAGATTGTCTCAAGCAGTTAGAACAAGAAACTGCTATTGACTGGATCTCATACCACATCTCATACCAGGGGAATCGACACCAAGTCTGTATGGTTTACTGAAGATGCATAAACAGGGTGTAGGGTGTACAAATTGTCTGTATGATCAACTCGGTCACCTATAACAATCCAAGGTTTCTGGTTTGAAAACACTATGCCCAGATGAAAAGAATCAACCTTTTGGGATTTGTTGCATGGTGGACACAAAAATGTACATTTACAATTAAACAACAGGATAAGGTTTCAAAAGATTAAAAGAAATGTTCCCAAAATCTAATAAACTACAAAAAGAAAAAAGCACAGGTTAGAAGGATCATGATTATTGGAGAAAATACTGTGATTCCCTGGGTAAAAATACACCATTAGACAGGGTTTGGTGTACTTTAAAAAAAGAAAAGAAAAAAGAAAAAAAAAACCTTTTCATTTCCCCCATGTAAAGGTTGGCTACAATAGGTGACACCGAGGAGCCAATGGCACATCCATGTTTTTTTTTTCTGTAAAACCCTTGCTGTAATTAAAATATGTGGTGGTAAGGCAGAGGTCTAACAGTGTCCTTAAACACTCCTGAGAGAGAAGTATTACTGAGTAATCTTAATAATAACAAAAAAATTTAAGGATAAGGGAATTCTTTCAAAGAGACTCAGGGAATATAGTTTTTGCTGATATTTTTACATTTTTGAAGGAGACAGGAATTTTAAAAAGAAATACATTGCCGGTACTGTAGATTCTGTGCTATACTCCAATCTAAAAGGTGGCGGTATTGCACCTAGAAGTTATTTGCCAACCGCCAAAAAACAGGAGAAGAAGAAGAAGAATTTTTTTTGCTACTTGCCAACCAATAAATATTAAGAAGAAGAAGAAGACCGCGACGACTCCTCCGAGTCCGAACGGGTTCTTTCCGCTTTTCGAACAATGATATCTTCCTGAAACCGCTAGCTGGAAAACTGTTATGCAGATATGAACAGAATAGGTTGTGTTTAGTACTGGTTTGATGAATAAGGCAATTTTCTAACAATGCGAGCTTTTCCAAAGCTGTGAAACGACCTAACCAAACAGAACACTGGGGAAAATTTTCTGAAACCTCTCACATCCAACTGTTAGCCTGTTTCGGTAAGTGGTCAACCCAGTAAGATTGCTAACATGATCATTTATTGCAAATCCTGTGTCTTCTCAAGAATGTGATACGTAAAGCTGCCTTTGGTGGTGTAATTGACTGAGGTATGTGATATAAGCGCTTAAACGGTCCAAGGGATAACAGACCGTTGGCTGGCCAGTAAAACCATAGCTGACGTCTGTGGTCGGTTGCAGCTGGCGTGTGGAAGATGCACTATGTTACCCGACTAGCTTGTTAGCTTGATCG